AAAGAGAGTGGTACAGCAGAATGAGCTTTTGTGTTTAAGGCAGCCCTTGGGAGTTGTTCCCAGCTAGCAGTGCAGACCCCATGGGCCAGTATGGGAGCTGAAATGCCATTTTCCCCAGGCCCTCCTTTTCTTTGCCTGTGGGGCTTCTCATCTAGGATAGCCTCAGAGAGGAGAGTCTCAGCGGCATCCATTGAGAATCGCCATAGAGACTTCCTCAATATGCGGGCCATTCACATGTGCATCAATTGCTCCATTCATAAATGTTTTTTCCTCTTTTAAAAACTGTCTGAACCCCCACCCCCCATTATTTGAGGTTATTAATGAGCCTCGACCTGAATGTCTCACAGGAAATCGAACAGTGAGTATGAGAGCAGGATGGCCCTGTCGCTTAGAGCTGATTAATCAAGGAACGGGCCGCTGCCATCAATTAACTGCTTGTCTATCTATTAATTAATTTTGTGTTGGAGTTCAGCAGAAGAGGAAAAGGGCCAGTTTCCAAACCGCTGCTGCTTCAGATGTTTCACTTCTGCTGTCAATAGGGAACTTGAGTGCAACACCGGTGACGCTGTCGGACATCACTGCGGTTAGCCGGAGGTTCGTTATGACGATTCCCAGCAATACGAGCACAATCGATCCTCCGGCACCGTGCTGACTGAGCGCAGGTGCGATCGCTGCGTGTCAGCCTGTTTTTTTTTTTTTTCTTGCTTTATGTATAAGAATTGACCGTTTTCCCACAAGGTGTGTATGTGCGCGTGTACGTGCATGTGGGCGGCCCATGTTTCCTCTCTCACAGATTAGATAGAATATGTGATTGTGTTTGCCTTTTCTGTTTTTTTTAATTTTTTTATCTGGTGTGCCAGCAAGACCTCTGTTAAAGGTGGGTGGCATCAATATTGGAACAAATTTAGAATGAAACTCGTCTGATTCATGATTGGAAATGTTTTGAAATGCAGTTTATTACCATTACCATATTGGTATTTATCTTCCTACTAGTGTTTTTGAGTTTAAATCTTCAGAATCTACGACACCCCAAACAGGCTTGGTTCCAGTGTTTCTTTTACATGCGTTGCCTGATGCTCAGTGTGCAGAGAGAAGGTTCAGGATCACTGCCCGGTTGGCACGCGGCGAGGAGCCCTGTCTGCTGATGATGGGGGCAGGGGCATGCGGGCAGGCAGTTCATGATGTTCTCTTCTCCTCCTCACATGTAACCCCCCCCCCCCTTCCCCTAATTCAAACTCTACCTTGCTGAAGAGTGGAGTAAAACTGACAGATCAAAAAATCATACACTTTTATTTTAATAGAGAACACCCACAGTGATTCTCAGCTGTGCTGGATACTGCAATGAATGGCAACACTATCCACAACGGGACTGGCGTGCCCTCATCTGTAGCCCCCCCACCGCGGGGCTGGCAGGAGTTCTGTGAGCTGCATGCCATCGCCGCTGCCCGGGAACTAGCCAAGCACTACCGGCGTTTTGCCAGTGAGCGCCCGCGCCATGATGTGCCCTCACCCGACAGCTTCTTGAAGCAGTTCAACCATCTGTTCCAGCAGTTCTTCTGCAGCGAGGTGGCTGGTGAGGCCCCTCTCCCGGCCCCTCCCCCGACGGGGTGTCGCCGGGTCACCTCTTTCTCTGGCGCTCTGGACTACCGGGAGGCTGGCCGGCCGGGGTCTCAGGCCCTCATCACGGTGGTGGCCTTCAAAGGGGACCCGCCAACATGCGGCAGCCCGCCGTCAGTTCCCTGTGAGCAGGAGCAGCCTCCGCGATGCTCTGCCACAGACACTACCAGGCATGATCGTGGGCGGAGCCAGGAGGAGGCTGGCACCTCTGCTGCCGAACGGTACTCCCCACAACCTATGCTCCCCCTCCATCCCGGACACAGCGACCCCACACATTTCTCTGTCAGGCAGATCCGTTGTGATGTGTGCCGGCTCTTTAAGAAACAGATTCCTCGGCCGGCTGATGGGGGTGGGGCTCCTGACGAAGGCCTCCCCTCTGGGACCTTGGCCACCCCCCTGGCTCAGAAGTCGCCCCCTGCTGGCAGCTTTTTGAATCGTTTGGCCAACAAGTTCCGTGCCAGCCTAAAGCAGCGTTCCAGGCTCCGTGGTGTGTGCAAGGAGGGCCAGCTACGGTACCTAGTGGTGGATGACACTATCTCTGACGCTCAGCCGCGGTGGCAGCGCTGCCAGCTGCTGCTCCGTAAGGCGCAGGAAGGCCAGGTCACAGATGGCTACCAGCTGGACCTGTATGACCCGCCTAAGGTAAGTGAAATCTGCCTGTTGCTTCCAGATGCCGGGTTGGAGCATTGCTGCTCTCCTGGTCAGTCACTGGGTAATTATTATGGTATCAGACTGCAATCAAGGTTTGCTCCTTTTGTTCTGCTGTTTATCACTTGGAGCCACATGTTTTCCCTACTGGGTGGTTTTTCTCTTTTTTCCCGAAGATCTCCTGCGGAGTTTGTGGTGTCTCAGGTTTCCTCATGTCTCCCAATCTGTAGTAAAGAGAGCACCAATCTTGCCTTTAGAAGGTTGCTCTTGCTTAGCCATCATGTGTCCAGACTAGCACACGTCCATCCATCCATTTTCCAACCCCTTATCCTTGTCAGCCTGGATGCCATCCCACTCCACATGGGGGGAAAAAGGCTGGGGTGGGACCCCTGTCCATCATAGGGCGCACACACGTAAACCGGGCAGATTAGAGTCCTCTAATTGGTTAACTTCTACGTGCTTATTAGTTGGTTAGAGGTCTTGGTTGGGATTTGACATGAACATGTCTTTCTGTAGAGGCAGTCTGTCCTGTGCAGAGATGTTGCTGTCAGTCTCTCTCTACCTGGGGGGCTTTGGTGGCCATGGGCCTACACAGAGCTCCCCGTGTTTCTCAATATGCCTACTTGACCATACTTGTGTTCTTGCGTACCTGTTTTGTCACCTAACATTTCCGAAAACCACTTCCAATACTAAGAACAGTAGTACAGAGGATGGTAAAAATCCCGGGGTGTTGTTGTTGCTCCGCCCCAAACACCCAAGGGTACATCGATTGCATCCTCGCTAAACAAAATCTCATAATTTATTTCACCCCAAATTCATTCTTGGGAGCCAAGTAAGAAAGACCATAAGTATGATCTTCATGTTGAGAAACACCCACCATCTGGTCCATTGCGTCTGATTCTACAGCATCCCTCTCTTCCTGGAAGCGATAGGAGTCTAACAGGAGGTGATGGGCCACTGCAAGCCATCAGATAGTCGTGCTTCCCCAGGTCGCCACGTGCTCGTGGCCTGCAGATAGTCTCTGTTAGGTGGCAGTGGTGAGTCGGAGCTCCCATCAGCCGCTCACAACGGGGAGCTGACCAGGGGGCTGAGCTTCTCAGAGAGACATTCAAGTTGCCAGAGGAAATGCAGAAATGAAGCTTTATCGCCTTTGACAATATGACCAATCTGCCGAGCAGAGGATTCAAACTTATGACCTTCCGATTGCAGCCCTAACCCACTGAGTCATACACTGTCCCCTGGGGTGCGAGTGTGCAGGGGATGTTGGTGCAGTGAGTACTCTCTGTACTGGCCCCCGGAAGGCGTTTTGGGCTTCTCCTGAACGTTTCACCAGGAGTCTGTGAGCCCCAGCGCACTTCCTGCCTTGTTAACTATCTGCATGTTTCTCTGCCTGCAGTTTCCCCTTTCTCAGCTTCCCATCCGCACTCTTTCTTATTTCCTTCTCTGTGTGTGCATTGAGAAATGTGGACAATGTGTCTCCAGTTACAATGGTGACCTTCACAGAGGAAGCTGCCGCTAGCTGATAACTCTGAGCATTATGGAAGTTCTGCCTTAACATGGTGTTCCATCCTGATATAGCAGATAATCTCTCAGCAGTTTTCAACATGATCCTGATAGAGCTTGTTTGCTCTCTGTTCTTTTGTTGTACATATAAAGGAGAAAACATTGTTATTCTTCAAAGGCAAAATGTATCTCCTTCCTATGAATTCTAAATGGAAAAATCCACCTTAGATTCCTTGCTGATAATTGTAGACCATGGGAAGCATGAGAATATTGACATAATGCAGTGAGGCAGGCAGTTAGTATGTGAGCTGCGGAAGACGGCCATCGCATGTCAGACAGAGCTGCGATTTCTTCCAAAACCTGTCTGTCCGCGTAGGTTCTGATGTGACTCAAGTCAGTCTGTTTATAATTACTTTTTGCTAATATTACAGCAGACCTTGCTTTCCATTTTCGTAACCATTCTTTTGTAGTCTTTTTTTTTTTTTTTTAAATGGTGAATATTGGATGTGTAAATATCAGCGTGAAAGGAGGGATTTGCAACTCTGGATTTTTTGTTGAGCGACCTTAGTGATTGGCTGGTTTCATTGTGTTTTTGAGGTTGAGCTTCAAGGCTGACTGATCTGAGAAATATGTGGGCTGGGATAAGACACACACAAAAAAAAAAAGTTTGTCACAAAGTCAGTGGTGCCGCTGTGTTCTGGTAGATGATGATGATATGGTGGCCTCGAACACACACACACACACACACACACACACACACACACACACACACACACACACACACACACACACACACACACATACAGATATGCATGTGCTCGCATATGCATTTGTTTTATGGAAACAAGTTTAATATATGATCTTAACATGCATCACCCAGTATGGGATGGGGAAGGAAGGGTGTCTGCAGAATTGAAAGCCACAAATAGATGTCAACTCTGTGTCAGAAGTAGTGGAAAATATTACGGATTGCGACTGAAAGCATTTGCACATTAACAGTTGTCTGGACTTGCGTCTTTGTGCCTTTGCTGTATTGCACTGAGCCCTGCTACAAGCAGCCCAGAGGACCTCCAGTGAGAGTGATGACCATGTGAAATGTTGCCTTTTTAAATGGATTCTTCAGTGGTCTCTCTCTGGAAGGCATCGTTCTGCTGACTGCATTTCCTCTGTGCAGCTCTGGTTTGTGTCTGGCTGTACTGCTCTTTCTGCCTGGGTCGTTTTCTGCTTTTCCCCCAGGGTCTATTGGGATGACAAGCTTTGGTATAAATTTATTTTAAGTGTCAGCTTGACTGAATCTTGTCAAGTACTTTTAACTAAGGAGCAGAGCATGAAGACTTTTCCGGCTAGCCTGTATGGAGCTCTTTATGGAGAAATCAGTGACATTGGTGATAAGACTTTTCTGGGGTCATATCTGCCTCCAGAAAACAGTTGCAGGGCTTTTTTTGTTTATAATACATGCTTGTTTTGCCATTTATGCAGTGGTAATTTTGCAACGTTTGTTCCTGTTCAGAAAACCGGTTCATCTATTTTAGTATTTAATTTTTTAAATAGTCTAGGAAAAAGCTACTTTTTCTATAGTTTTACACAATGTGACCTGAGCCAAAACCTTCTGCTGCAGGATGATGATTTGCCATTTTGTGGAATCTTGCATTGGACAATGCCGCTCACGTGTGAAGCAGGGTTCTTTTTTTTTTTTTTTTTTTACACGAATTTTTAACCTCATTCTGGTTTGACACATTGGTCTGTATGGATTTTGATTCAGTTTATTTTATTTAAAAACTACAAGTTTTACTGACACATTATCATATTGTGCTTCTGACTAAAGGTTTCAGATTTCAATCCCTGAGACTGGCTTTTTGTCATATACAAAAGAG